GAGAGAGAGAGAGAGAGAGAGAGAGAGAAACAGACAGACAGACAGACAGACAGACATACAGAGAGCGCATTCGTATGTGTCGAGAGCGTAGTATGTGTGTGGACATTTTGAATCCATATGTGAGTGGTATGTGTTTCTACGTGTGTATTTGTGGACATGTGTTGTGCGTATGTTGGTTTCTGAATGTCCACGTGTCCTATTGTAATCGTATGCACGTGTATGTGTGTGTCTGAGTGTGTGTTTGTTTGTCTGACTCGTTTTGTGTGTTTGTGTGGGTGTGTGTGTGTGTGTGTGAGTGTGCGCGCTTGCGTGTCCGTGTGCGTGCGTGTGTACGTTTATGTATATTTGTAAGCGTGAAAGAATGCTTGTCTATACTTTGGTTAGCAAAATATGTATAAATGTCCTTAGCTCTATGTGGGCTTGTGGTTGTGTGCAAATTTTGTGTATGTAATATATTATAATGTGTCCTTTTGTGTAAGAAAGTGCATATGTATGTGTGTGTGTGTGTGTGTGTGTGTGTGTGTGTGTGTGTGTGTGTGTGTGTGTGTGTGTGTGTGTGGAGTGGATGCAATGTGGGTTTTTTTTTGGGGGGGTGTGGGGGGAGAGAGAAAGGAGAAAAAACCCACCCTTATTCTCCGACACTAACAATAAAAGTAGGAACGAAAGTCAAATTTTATCTTGGTAAATATCGTGAGATGCAGCGCATTTTGAGAGGGGAAAAAATCTCACGACAATAATTCTTATCGTAAGGTTATGGAATGGACGGGCATTTCCGATATGGCCCAGATTTGAGCTATAGGTGCTTTTTTGCAACGAACCCTTCAAATCTTTTTTTTTTCTTTTTTAATATACAACATAAAATAAACTTTAAAAAAATGCTATCGAGATTGTCTTCGACAAAACGTGGTATATGTGTTCTATTTCGCAATAAGAGACAGATCGGAGGGTATTGGCTTCTCGTATCTCTCGGTCCGTCCTCGTCTATTGTCCCTGCTCGCCGTATGGCGGATTAATCCAACAATATCACGTGCATGATATATTTTGAACCCTGCGGAACTTTCTAAAGCATATTGTCCTCCGTTGCCATGGGTTACCTTTCAACGCCGAAAACAAGTAAGTCTTCCTTTCCATAAAAGTTGATAGCCTGTGAAATTGAGTCGTGCAGAATGCCATATTACAGATCTTTAAATCGCTAACTCGTGTATTGTCGAGGCGATATCTATGTCGTCTGGACTCTAAATAGATATATTGTCAGTTCATAATCTGTGGCAACAGACCGTTATGTTCTTGTAATCTAAGCTAACAGACCGTTCTTTTCTTGAATTCATTCACAGGGGTGTATGTGGGCGGGGCCCTGGAATCTTGGACGTGGTTTTTGGACGTCATTCGCCGAGATTCTCGTTTTCTTTTTTTTTTGTTCTTTGTTCGTTTTTTAAAAATATATTAAGTTGGGAAAAGGGGGAGGAGATCTCTGAATTTTAGAAAATCTTGTTACAAACTATTAGATCTATTATTATTATAATTATTA